CCACAGGAGGACGTCCCCACGTCACTCGTTTGGGCTAAGCCCGGCCGGGCCCCGTGGGGGGAGGCCCGGCCACCAGGCGCTTGCATTCGAGCCCCATCCCCAGGCCTGGCTCCAGGGTGGGGCCCCGGCTGCGCCATGCCGGGCGACGTCACGGGACTTGATCTTTGTCTGATCATAAGGGGCTTTTGAACCGCTTAGTCTGACCCGTCACACAGGACCTGTTTGCCTTGGGAGACCCTACCAGGGACATATAGCCCCCGACAACATAGCTCCTAGGATCACTTGGGTACTCAAACCCCTCCACCAAAATAAGGTGGCGGTTCAAGGAGGGGCTATATCATCATATGTATTAAAATTAGGTGACCTATAGTAGCTGTAAAGGTCACCTAATTAGTAACAACAGCTATCATTAGACCCAGGACACGCTGGAGGGACTATGTCTCTCGGCTGGCCTGGGAACGCCTAGGCATTCCCCCAGAGGAGCTGGAGGAAGTGTCTGGAGAGAGGGAAGTCTGGGCATCTTTGCTTAGACTGCTGCCCCCGCGACCCGGTCCCAGATAAGTGGAGGAAAATGGATGGATGGATGGGCTATCATTACTTATTAAAGAGGATAGGTGGATGTGCTTTAAAACCAGAGATGGCTATACATTTTCTGTCAGTGTTGTTATTAAGTAAGATATTTATTCCAAACCAATACAATCTCATGATTCTTCCGTTGGTTTCCATTCCCATGCTTTTATTTTGACTTTATTTCCTGTTTCAGTTTCACCTTAGTTTCGAACTTTTTACTTTAATCACTGGTTATTGTTTACACCTATTTTGACTCAGTTATAGGCAGCTTTCCCCCACCGGGAAGCTGCCAGATCGTGCTACATCCATGTTTGGACTTTCCAGTGTTTTGTGTCATGTGTTCTGTTATTTGTAACCTTCAATTCAGTAAAAGGACCGTTTTCTGTTTCACCTCAACTGGAATTGGAATTGAGTTCACCCCACGATATTGTCAGTAGCTTTACGCACCAATTCCTGACATACAATGCGGTAATGGTTTGGAAGAATGGGTTTCCTCCCTTCAACAAAGGACCACCGAAGCTGTTCTGGAGATACTTTACTAAACGGTTTGTTGTTCATTTTATGTTTATTTTTTTCTTTAAATTTAGACCCATTTGTGTATTCACTTCATCATTGTGGGTTACTTAATATAGACTGATAAGCAAAAATGGCCATTTTATGTATTTAGAATTTAATCTGCCACACAACAATATACTTATACTTCCGACATATACTTCCGGAGCCGACAACAATGGTGGCCATGGTTACTCGCGCTCTCTTGTGTTTTGTTGTTTTTCTTTGTTTTCTTGGTCTTGTGCAACTCATCCCGGATTACTTTTACCAGAGAAGAACTGTTAAATATCAGACAACTCACACCAAACTACCTTCCTCCGATTTTTGTGAATGAAGAATGCTGTATGGACATTCTGATCTGAGGCGCAGCAGCAATATACGGGACCTGGAAAAAATGCCGCCAACGTGGAACCTTGGTGCGGTTACGACAGAGGGTAACACGGACCTCACTCCCATCTATTCACCTGGCTAATCTCTGCTCCCTGGTTAACAAAATGGGTGAAATTCTTCTCGCCAACAGGACTAACTCTGACTTTGCACGCTCTACTGCTTTGTGCTTTATGGAGACCTGGCTCAGCGACTCCATCACCAGTACTGGGCTTCCAGGTGTACAGAGAGGTTCATGTAAAGGAGCTGTCCAGGAAAAGGAGGTGGAATCTGCTTCTACATAAGTAAAGGTTGGTGCATAGATGCTACAGAGGACATGCACTGCAGACCTAGAGTCTCTTGTTATCAATTGCAAACCCTTTTACTCTCCCCGTGAATTCAACAGGTTCATGCTAATAGGAGTGTACATAACACTGGCTCCTGGCAGAACTGATACCTAGCGTCCTAGCGTGGTGCTAGAACATCCCGACTCCCCACTCATTGTTCTAGGGGACTTTAACAGAGCAAATCTCACCCACAAACTGCCCAAATACAGACAGCACATCACCTGTCCCACCAGGGACAAAGTCACACTGGACCACTGCTACACAACAATAAAAGACGCTCTGTCCCCCACGCAGCCCTCAGACTCTCTGATCACTGTCTGGTCCATCTTATTCCAACCTACAGACAGAAAATTAAAGCTGCGAAGCCTGTAGTCAAAACAGTGAAGAGCCGGACTGAGGAGGCTGAATCAGAGCTACAGGCCTGCTTTGACTGCACAGACTGGAGTGTATTTGAGACTGCAGCTACAGACCTGGATGAACTCACTGTGACACTGTGACATCTTATATCAGCTTCTGTGAGGATGTGTGTGTGCCCAAAAAGACCTTCTGCACATACAACAAGAACAAGCCTTGGTTTACAGCAAGACTCAAGCAGCTTCATCGTGCCAAAGAAGAGGCAAGGAACACAATGACAAGGGAGATCAGAGCAGCAAAGAGGAGCTACTCTGAAAAGCTGAAAGCTCAGGTTTTAGCTTACAACCCCTCGTCTGTGTGGGGGAGCCTGAAAACCATCACTGGCTATAGAAAACCATCCTCCCCGCTGTGGAGGACCGTCAACTAGCTGACCTTACTCCTTCCTATTTTTATAGTCTTCTATGATTGTAAATCATTTTATGTATGCTGATGATTTGGCCATACTTTCGCCCAGCAGTGCTGGTTTTCAGCAACTGCTGAATGTGTGCTCGGACTATGGATTGAAGTATGATGTGAAATATAATGCAGAAAAGAGTGTTGTACTGATCTGTCGGACTAAAGGGGACAAAGAACTTTGTTTGCCAGACTTTTGTTTGTCTGGACAAAGGTTGAGTGTCTGTAGAAAAACTAAATATTTAGGACATTTCATTACAGATCAGCTTTCTGATGATGAGGATATATATCGGCAGTGTCGCATTTTGTATGCTCAAGCTAATATGTTGGTTAGGAAATTTCACATGTGTTCTGCTAATGTTAAAGTTCATCTGTTCAGAACATACTGTACACCGTTGTATACTGCCCCATTGTGGTGTAAATATAAGGTAGCTACTTTACAGAAACTTAAAGTTGCTTATAATGATGCCTTGAGGATTCTGCTTAAGAAGCCTAGGTCCACCAGCGCCAGTCTGTTGTGTTCACAGGTCCATGTTAGTACCTTTCAGGCATTAATGAGAAACCTGATGTACAGATTTATCTGTCGTGTGAATAACTCTGAGAACAGTCTTATAATGATGCTGGCTAATCCTGGTTTTAGTGTAGTACGTTACCAATCCTCTCTGTGGAAACATTGGTATAAATGTCTTTTATGATTTTTATTTATTTATTTTTCTTCTTTTATATTCTTTCTTTTTCTTTTATTTCTTTCTTGTATGGACCTTGAGTCTGCTAATAAAGGATGATGATGATGATGATGAATACTGCTTATTTTGTTATATTACACAGACATTGAGAGCCGATGTACCAGAGTCAAATTCCTTGTGTGTCCGTCACACCTGGCCAGTAAAGCAGATTTTGATTCTGAACAATATGTGCAAATGTAAAGTAGTCTGAATATGTTTTGATATTATATTGATGTATTTCTTTATTTAGAGCAGTTAGATCATCAGTCTTGCATTGTTTTCCAGTATACATAACTTGTCTTCTTCAAGGTAACATTAACTGCACTGGATAGAGAAGCTTCCAAAAAGTGTTGGTTGTTAGTCCTTTCTAATAATGACAAATTTACAAATTACAGTGTTTTATGTAGCTTTATTTAACTTTGTTTAGCTGCTGTTACAAGAATTTTAGTGGTGTCACAGGAGTTTACAGCACTATAATTGGATGATTAATATTACCTGCATCAGATGCTGTAGTTTTATGTTGAAGGCAAGTTTCAGCTTGATAATTACCCAAAAAGGCTGGCGCTCTTTGTGTTTAGCTATCCGTGTTTCCAGGTGACCTAGCTATGCTACACAATCCTCTCAACAGCTCCTCTGTTTTGCACACACACACACACACACACACACACACAGAGAGAGAGAGAGAGAGAGAGAGAGAGAGTTGAGTTTGCCTTGTCTGATAATATTTAACTACAACTCCTCAGTTTCTGGGCTGCATTTCAGATGGAATAGGAAAAAGTAAATAATTAAACAACATCAAAAACATCTCTGTACCAACGTATCTTCTTGGTATTTACATGTATTTAAATATTTTCTGTATGTGGAAGAGCATCCAAGCTAATCACAAATTCCTCAACTAGTACTAACTTGTCATTTAAAAGAAGATATCATGTTTTTTGTCATTATTGTGTCATGAAACAGAATAACAATCACATTGCACTCAGAACCCCTTGAATAGATAAAATGCACCAAATAAATATGTATGTAACAAGCACAATCCTAATAATACATCAAATAAATGCACATGTTCTACAAAGTACACCTCAAAGCCCTAGAAAGAATAGGATTGTGTGATTTTTGTTTTGAGACAGAACTGAAGATTTTTAAAAGAAAGTCATTTGATAGAAATGCAGAGTTATTAGAATATATTTGTCTAGAACAATTGTATGTAATTATAGAAGTGACACACCTGACTGAATTTTAGTGTGTGTGTTCTTATTATCTCAGTGAAATTTCTAGATCAATCTTCACTTTCAAGGGTCAAGATGTTTAATAAATTGTTTCCATTTGGAAACCCTTCCTTTATCTTTTAAGTGATTTTAAATGCTTCCTAGCATAACTTTGACATTTTACTTTAACTATTGTAGTCTGATGTCCTTTGCCAACACTTAGTTTGTCATTTTCTTGCCTTCCTTGCCAAGTTTCCCTTGAAAAATAAATCCATAATCTCAGTGGTACTGTGACGCACACAAAATGTATGGTCACATCATTGTTATTTTATAATGTTTTTCATTTTAGAAATTACTGTTGGGGTGCGCCAATTGGGGGCAGTATACTAGTTGTGCTTCGGGCCGGGGTCTCTCTCTGAGAGTCTAGTGCAGTTTCTTCATTCTCGGAGCGAAGCTGCACTGAACAGAAGCACGCTGCCTACTGTCTCATTATTTCTCTTGTTTACACAGAGTATTCTTCTATACGGGTCTACCCCCTAGAGCGGACCCTTAATGGTACCAAGCAATTAATAATAGTTAAGTAATAAGGTCTATAGCACGCATTCAATACATCACAATGAAGATTTTTATACACAGTTTTATATATACTGTAGATAGAGAGATACTAGATTGTAATATTGCTGAATCAGTCATTATGTCGATTATACTTTTACCCCATTCTATTTTTCACAGGGCATAGTCAAAAACGCCAAATACTGTGCAAAATGTCACTTTCATTTTTGTTATGTTAATAATTGGGCTAAACTGTGAAACAACTGCACAGGTAATGATTTGCAATTGACTGACTGATTTTTGAGTTTAATACTGATTTTAACACTAAATATATTGTATATGTGATTTTTTGACACTTTAATGGCAAGAAATAAAAGTTTAGTATGACCTTTGTCAGTTCATAAATACATTGGTAACAACATTAAGCCAACAATTCACAAACCTTTTACTAAACCCACACAACAAACACAGTGCAGCTCAAGTTAAAGATGCAATAGTTAACTATCAGGTAAAACTATTTCACTCTTACCTCCATCATTTCACACATTTATATCCAAAACATTATAAAGCTCTGGTTTGTTGAAAAGCCACCATAGAAAATTATTTCTACATAATCAGAGAAGGGTTTACTCTGTAAACAACCCTCAGTGAGCTCATTCCTGAATAATGTTCCATCACTAAAAATATAATTCCAACTAAAAGAACAACGTACCTTACTGTAGTTCATAGTTCCTCCCTCTTCTGCTGGAATTGTTCCCTCAAGGAAGTCCACTTCATTAATGAAACTGCACAATGTAGGGGCAAACCCCTATGGCCAATTATGGGAAAATTCCTGAAAGATAGTAAGGGACACACACTGTGCTGGCAGTGGCTCAAGGGGTTTAATTATTCCACCACTTACTTTCCTTGTCCAGTTTTATCTGTTTATTTGTCCTTGCACTTAATGTAGGATAACAATCTTATAAGAACAAATAAAGATCAAGTAATAAATTATCAAATGTATTTTTTCTTAAACAATTCAAAAGAGAGCATTCTTAGAAAGTAGCAGAAGCAGCAATTTGAACATAAAGGGTAACATGATGACACAACACCGGGGAGACAGTGAGAGTCAGAGGTAGGACTATTCCTACTGGTTCACCACACAAACTGGGTCAGCGGCTAAATATAAAAGAAATGAAACACTA